GTATGCAGCGCTTACTGCAAAGCAGTATGGCCGCACCAGTGGAGAGTAAAGCGGGAAAATTTGAGTGCATTGAAAGGCTTGAAAAAGTTAGACACTGTCATCTTAGAGTAGTTAATTTACTGTTCTGGTAGAAAAGGATCAAAAACTGTATAAAAGACAACCTATCTATATACTTTTGCACATGGCACATTGAAGATAAGGCAGTGTAATAGGAAGTAGACCATCTGAAACAGGACAACTTTCGTCTGTGCCACTCACGGCAGCTGCACAGCATTGGATTGAATTATGATAACTTTACCTTTGAGGTTCTTCTTGAAAATGTGGCAAGCTTGTTGGAAAAGCTGTAGGGAAGATTGTGAAAACCAGAAATATGAACTAACCATGGATGGTTACAGCATCTCTGCAGGGGCCAGTGAACAATTAAGATTTGTATACGACGGAGGACGTGTGCCCTAGGACTTTGCTTTAGGAGTGGATTCTGCAAAATTCCGAATCACTGTTGGAAGTGCTAAGAAAACAACTCCTGTGTAAAGTCTGTATCTGAATCACCTTTTGAGAGATAATAATTTCCAGAAGCAGTTCCAACAGACTTCTCTAAGAATTACAAGCAAAAGAAGGACGAGACGGATTCTGAGAAGGAATTAAAGGTTTAGTTTCATTCTTAAGAATGTTACCGATAATTGCACTGTGATTACTATTTAGATGCTGTTTGCCAACAATAGGATGCTTGAACTTCAGAAATGTATCGATAATAACCTTCAGAATACTTTTCCTTGGCCCTGTAGTGAAATAATTGCTTCCTGTGTAGTGGATCAAAGATATTAAGCATTACTAGAAGCTGGGCTGTGTGCTACAGAACTCATCTATTCTTTATGTATAATGCATTTGCCTGTTTTGAACAACAGTGTATGATGAAGAGCTGTGAACACAAAACAAACAAGTTAAAACAGAGTATCTCAGCTCAACAGCTGTGAGCACGTGCGTGTTTGAGAAGACCAAAACCTTGCAGTGACAGATGCCAGGGATTGTGAGGTACTAAACTTGTACAAGTAAACAGTCATACTTGTGGGACTACTGCTTATAAAGTTTTCAGGCTAGATACAATACGGGCAACAAAACCAAACCAAAACAAAATTGGTGAAGGCCTCTCAAAGAGGGGAGGATATAATCTATATAACCAATTCAGTTAGTGCTGTGTCAGAATATTAAGGGTAAATGTGAATAGCAAAGCTATAGCTTTTCACATTAAAAGCACAATACTAAAAGTAACTGGGCAGAAACTATGCAATGTGTCTGGGGGATAATAAACTCTGACTATTGGAAACTTCAGAATTTATTTGGAATGGTGGTAGATGCAATCCCATAGTCAGTCATTCTTTGTAAAGCTCCTTCTCCTTATCTTATGCATGCAAACATTCAAATGTTTGTCCTGCAGATGCATGGGTGCAGAAAACAGGCAGGTAACTTTTTTTTTAATTAAACTTGAAAATAGGTACTATAAGGCATTCTTGTTAGAGTTTGACATGAAATAGTCTCATGATTTTTCCAGGTTAAGAGTAACTTGTTTATAATAAGGCCAGGGAAAAAATCAGCTTTGAAATTGAGGGCATCTACTCTTTTGTTTGCTGTGCTACTTACTGTTTGATGAAGATTAATCAATTCACCCTGTGTTCTTTGCTGCAGATATAGAGTCTATGAAAGCCTTTTAATCTATGTCTAAAATAGTCTTGCTATTACTGAAATTGAATCTGCTGTGACCTGTCATCAAATAGATGCACTAGACACATTCTTTTTCACTTTAAAACATGTAGCTTTCCCATTAGCTAAACTGTCCAAATGCTTTGCTGTGTCAATTTGCTTAGGACGCTGAGGGAACTCTTTTCCACGTACACTCTTCCACTAGTCTATACAGGAGCAGGGGAGGTGGGAGGTATTGGGCATGTGTAGGGACAGCAGAATTAGTCATCAGTAGGGGTAGTGGTGTGAGGAAGATTAAAGTGAACTAGGGACTGGCAGGTGAAAAATCGGCATCTTCTCTTCAGATACTTTCACTGTCACATAGCCCCTAAATTCTTCAGATACACAAACTCAAAATCTAGTAGTTTGCTTTCCATTTTGTCCAGGCAAGGTAGATGAATTATGTGACACTGATGTGTTTCACACTTACTCTTTTAGGGAAATACTACTTATTATTGTATCTGCAGGTTGCTTTTGTTCTGGGGATCTTTGAACTAGAAGGCAGTGGATAAAATTGGTGTTGACTCTTACTTTTTGAAACAGCATTCTGAAGGAGGACAGGAGTGCCTGCATCTGTGGCCTCAAGTGTAAAACCAAGAGCTTGTTGGAGTCATGAGGAGAGCAACAGAGCAAACAACCACTTGCTCTGTAGCCTCAGGTCTCTGTCAAATGAGAGAAGAGCCCTGAAGCAGCACAGCAAACTGGCAGGAGTAATTTTCCCAATAGCAATGATGCAGTCTTTAAAAGAAAATAAAAATTATAGGTTAAAAAATAAGCTTTGAAAGCATCTTTGCTAACTGGTTAAGATTAGTACAAAAATACTGAGATGGGCATCGTGCTAGAGGCAACAAGATCTCTTGTAGCCTAGCTTCATTGTGGTTAGAAATACTTATCTGTGAAGAAGAGACTTGCCACCAGGATTTTGTTTGTCAGCCTTTTTGAGATAGAGGCATTAGCTACAGAAGGACCTCAGGAGAGGACTGTTGATGGTGTAATAGTATTCTTTTCTTTTCTGGTATTTATCGGAGGCTTCAGGTCCATCGCTCTGCAACTGAAGAGCTCGTGCTTCGTGCCTTCCAACCAGACTGTAATCCGTAGTAGCTCGTTGAGCTAATTGTTTGCTTGTTTGAGTGTTTGGAAACAACAAAATGAAGAGAGAAATAGAAAGAGGCAGGCTGCCTTCTTAACAAACTCCCAGAAGTAACAGTCATTTTCTGTGTGCTGAAAAAGCCTGCAGCCCAAGTCTCTCTTGTCTAAATGTGACATATTAGTCAGAGTTCCTTGGGAAAGAGGAAAATTACTGGCCAGTGGGGCCATTTATTTTTGTTTCTGTGTGTTTAACAAAAAAAAAAATACACCACAGTAGCTATTGCTTGGATCAAAATGAGTTGTTCACTAGATTTTTTTCACCACTCCAGATTCAGAAAACAAATACCCATAGTGAAATTCTAATGATCCTGTTCTGAATTTTGATGCCCTTCCAGTTAAAATTCTGAATTTTGAAACTACTAAGGAGTTGCATATGTATAATTACAGAAAATAACAAATTAACGGTTGAATTGCTAACTATTTCTCTTCCACTAAGGGACTCAGCTAAGAGCAGAAATATATACTTAAGTTATTTTTTGATCAAGTTTCATCCATTTTGCAGGCAACCTGTGAATAAAAGAAGAAGATACAGTTTGTGTTGGGTGTTAGAGCAATGGCCAAGAAGGCATTAAACTCTAAATTTTTTAGTAACTCTTGGAACCAATAAAAAAAAATTACAAACATGAGAGGAAGAGAAAGGATGGGGAAAAATACTGATATAAAATTAACCTGTCTCGAACTATGTAGTAGTAAATCTTTGAGGTTGGCTGAGGAAGAAGTAGGGCTCATTCTTACTGAACAAAGATGTTACTACCCTTTGGCTGAGTGTTTCTGTCCTCACTGCAGACATGGTCAAGCTCATAGTCCTGTATTTTAGTGTGAATTGCTTCATCACAGTGCGGGTAGCTGGGGAGCTGTACCAGGTTGACACCCTGGACAGCAGCGGCCTTGCTTGCTTGGAAGTCTTTTATTTGATCGCTTTTTCTCTCCTGAGTGCTTACTTAAATTTCCTGATGAGAATGTGGTCATACGCTGTTTTTATTTTTATTTTTTAAACTGAAATGATTCCTAGTGCTAAATGGAAAAGAGAAAGCTACGTGTATTTTACCTGCGGTGTGCAGAGGTTGAGCTGTTACACTTTCTCAGATCTTAAGTGGTCATTTGGATGAGGCTTCAACAATAGCTCTTAAAAAAAAAAAAACACAACACAAAACAACAAAAAATTACAATGAAATGGTAGTTTGGAAGGATTCAGTTTTGTGCAGTGCTTTTTTTCCCTAATCTTGAATTTTTAAGCACATAGAGCAGAAGAATACAGCAGGATGGAAATGCTGTGAACACAGTCGTTTAGGCTTATCCTTCCTATTCTTGATGTGCTTATCTGTCTGTATTAAAACTATCTGGGATCTGCATAGCTGTGAAATTTCACAAACATGAAAAGCTTCATGCAAATATAATTTCCTTAATAGTCTAACTTTCATCTGCTTTGATTTATCAAGCTTTCTTGTAATTAGTGGAGAAATCCTCCACTCAGTGTGTACATGACAGCAGTGTGCAGGATTTCTATGTCTATTTGAAAACCTATTTTTGAAGTCTCTGAACTTGTTTGACAAATCAGTGGAGCAAAGTAGCTTTTGTGGAATTATTCCTATAAATAAGAAAAGAATCAACTTGCTATCTGGAGAATTAGATCTCAGAATAGGTTTCACTGTGAGCTTGCACTGTTTTTGCGAAGTCAGGTATAAACATGGTTAAAATCACTAAGGGCTATGTTATCCTCCTAGATATATATGAGAAGTAGTCAATGAACAGTATGTACATATCCAAAGGCTAATTTACTTCCTTGGGGAAGTTATGTCTATTCTTGGATTTCAGGATTTTTCATCTTGTAAAGATACTAAAAAAAGAAAGCGAAGAAAGAATTTCCTGCTGTGGAAGACCAGTTTCTCCTTGACTGGTTATGCTGGCTAGCAAGTTCTGCGGTATGCCCAAATGCAAACCTTTAATCTGTTAATGCATTTAACGCATAAAGCAAAGTACTTTTCAGAGCAGTCATAAATGAGTAAGTGCCTAATTTGCAGCATTTCGTAACTCCTACTTTGTTGGTGTAGCTATAGCAAACATTAATTTTCCTTTTTTTTTTTTTTTTTTTTTTAAGCCTGGTTGAAATGGTGATTGGGCATAGCACTGTATGTATACACAAACTTGCCATCTTGCAGTACTTCCTCTGCATTGGAAGCACCACAAATGACAGCAATAAGCCGCTAGATGTGGGGTGTCACAGGGAGCTCAGTAAGGTGCTTGGAGTGTGATCAGCACAGATTTGTTCTGGAGGGGACGCAGCTTCCAGAGGTCCTAATTACATGTGCAGGAAACCCATGGGGTTTTAAGATGAAGGACAAAATCCAACTACTTAAGGTAGGGCTGTGCTTGACTAATCCTCAGGACTTTCCCTGGAGGATTTGCATAGAGCTTTCATACTAATAAGACTCCTCTACATGCACAGGAATGCATTACAGACAGCAAATGCTGTGCTCATCCTATTTGAGGTGACTGGTGGGGGCACTAGGGTATAATGTGCTTTTTCACTCTTGGAGACCAAGGGCACCATATGCCTCTCCTGGAGCTTGTTGCGCACAGCATAGTGAGACAAGCCTCTGCTGGTGAAAAAGAAAGGAAAACCAGACTTTACCATACTGCCCTTGTAGTCTTACAAAATGTTCGCACTTTTAGCTGTATAGCAGCAAGGGAAAACATTGCTTTGGTTACTAAACTTACAATTGAAGTAGCAGAAAGGGTCTGTTTCCTGCTGCTCTTTCAAAGGTCCTATTCTGTCTTTTTCCCTTCTGATATTAGAGGAAGGGTAACCTGGAAATCACAACAAACCAGATGTTAAACTGGTAAAATCACAGTTGTTGCTGCCTCTTGGTGTTTGTGCTTCTGGTAAAGAGACTTTCAACAACTGCTTGCTCCTATGGGTGCTGTGCCCCTTAGGATGATACAAAATGCATGGAGAAAAAACTCACTGATGTATATTTAAGATGTGTTATGTGCAGATAATGTGCTGGAAGTGCTAAAGGGATCAAAGGGGAAGCTTCAACAGAGAGGGTTGGATTTTTTTTTTTTTGTGTTAAATGAGAAGAATGGAAACCACGATGATGATTTCCTCAACTGATTAATAATTCCCTCCCACACTTCAACAAAACTGTACAAAATGCTACTTTACTAAGATCTGTCTATTAATTTTCAATCCTGCTAGAGCTTCCATTAGAGGAAGCAAAGCCTCTCTGTTCACAAGATGTGGCTTTTTGGAAGGGAGGAAGTTTGTACTTTGGATAGTGGAGGAGGGTTGGATTCTACTATTCTTTCCTTTCTTTAAATCTTTTTTGCTTGAACTGACAGCAAGATTCTGTCCTTGTCCTTCATGTTCGTGAGTCTCAGGAGAACAGCGCATACCATTTCTGTGCTATTTTTATTCCTTCCTCCTGGTAATCTGTTGGTACGTTCAGCCCAAATCAGGTCACCTTGAGGACTAAATAATGGTGGTATGGGGAGCCATTTCTGGAAGAAATTCACTTGTTTTATTTATTTATTTTTTGTTTTGTTTTGCTTTGTTGTATGAGGAAAAGGGATTTTTTTCCCCCCTCTGGAGAAGATTCTTGAGTAGCTTTTTATTTTTGGTAAATTTAAGCTATAATATAAAGGTCTGGGACACTTGATATGTTTTTCATGCTAACAGAATAATTAATCTTAATTACGCTGTTTATTTTACCATACTTTAGAGGGTAAGTGATTAGAAATAGCTTTATATCATGCGACAGAATAAGGTGTCTTATCCAAATGTCTCTGAGTTGGCAAAAAAAATAGCTACCATTTGGTGCGTGGAAAATGGAATTGCCTTGGCTATGCTGCTGTAGCGATACAGCCTTCTACATCCTTCTCTTTAGCCTGTTTGCGTGTGGAGCTACCCCCATGAAAGCAGGAGATGAGTTAGAGCATGTTTGCAGCTCTGCTTTCCCTGGGTTAGAGGTAACCAAAGCATGGGTTCAAGCATGGGTTCAAGCTCTGGTTGAAATAAAATAGCAGCAGAATTCATCTGATGGGCAGAGGGTACTAGTTTTGTGTGTATAATATGTATGTTTTATAGATATCGTGCTTGCATTCTGTATATATAAATTATACATACATACATATATATGTATATACATATTCAAGTCCTATAGAGAATTACAGCTGAATGCAGCCCTTCATCTTTGATCCTCAAATACCAGAGGTCTCCCCAGGATGTAATGGGACCTCTGGAAGCTGGCTCCCCCACAAGTCTGTGCTGATCACACTCCGAATACCTTACTGAACGCGCTGAGATGAGGTACATATAAAAACATCAGAAGAACAGAAAGTCTGGAAATCCATGTGGAAATTGCATGCAGGCTCTTGGCAAGCAGCCAGAGCAAATGTGAGAGGAAATATTCATATCTTTTTTTTTTTCCAGGTAGCTGGGCAGTGATGCTCATCTATCCCAGACAGTTTAGGGATGCACTTATGTGCAGTAGAGCTTTAATGATGCATATTTCCCCATTATCTTTATCTCTAAACTTGTCTTCCAGCAACAGTGCTGCATGCTGAGAGTCAAGTGGGGCTTTTGACACCCGTATTCACGATGATGTCTATTCTAATGAATTACATTGTGTACTTAATACTTTTGTTTTAGGGCATGAAGTCATTAGTAGGAATGGAGCCCAGTTCTCCAGCCTCCCAGCGGTGTATGTACTTAATAAGCCCAAACCAATGCTTTGTCAGCTCAGATCAGCCAAAACTACTTTGTATTTTATTCTATCTGGCTGTAATTTCTACCTGGATCATATTACTTAGTGTCTAAGCTGTATCCATGCATTCTGGTATGCACATAAGGGATGTCGGGATAAAAGATGCCTGAAATGATAACCACTCATTTTTCCTTTCTGTCCAGTTTATTTCCTAGGGGTTCTGTACTTACTGACTGCTGATGCATTGCTCTACAATTCTAGCTGGATCCTAGGTATTTTGAGTACTCTCAGTCTTGTAAACCTTGGCAGCTGGTTTGTGCTTGCAACAGCAATACTCTTTCAGCCTCTGGAGACCTCTCCATGTATGCTTCCATGTCAGGGCTAAATTATGGAGAAGCCAATTAGGACCCACACCCAACAAATTCTCTGCTGAGATAAAGCAGTCTTCAGAGAGGCTGTCTTATTTCTGCTTATGGAGGGGTTTCTTAATAGGATGCAGCAGATCCAGGAGCTATGTGATTACTGGGGAGTTTTTTTGAGGGGGCCCTTGAAAACTTACAGAAACCTGACTTTTCTGGATGATTTTCATGTTGCCTTGTTTGTGTGAGGCACAGTCGGAGCTGGGATTTCATTTTTTATTTTTTTTTTCCTGGATATTTCTTGCTTTAACTCCTCTTTCTCTGCCCTGAACTTGGTGTAACTGAAAGGAGGAGAGGGCAAAGATTTCAGCAACTCAAATGGCAGCAGAACTCGGTCAACTACATTAAAAACAAATGTTAGAGCTAGTTTTACTGCTGAGACGGGAGGGAAGAAAGGATTGTGTGAAGTGTCAGTAGGGCATGAGAGCTATTGCGGAGTCCAGTTGCCCCTGAGCTTTGAATTTCCTCAAAGTTTTTTGAAATTGTGTGGTGTTTCATGTTTGCTTTCAGCCACTTTAGCTTTTAACAAGGAGGAGGAATCAGGGCAATGGTGTCAGCAGAACTGCAGGTGAATAAAATTACAGGGCTGGAGCTGGAAGAGGGATGGTTTTTGGTGATATCTCCTAGAATAGCCTCGGATTGCTGGGCAGGACGCTGCACTCCCCATTCAGAGCCCCTCAGAGTGAGGACAATGGGGGGCTCTCCCTGAAAGCCAAGGAAAAGAATAGCTTTCAGGTACTTCTGTCACCAATAACCAATGAGGGGGTAACTGCTCTGTTCACTTAGGTTTTTTTGTAAGTAGTATACAGAGCTGCTGAGTTCTGTACTGTGGTTTGGATGAAAATGTGCTTTCTCCATAGAAAGATTCTAGGAGAATCATGGGGTGCTTGAACATAGGCTGACTTTTTGAGTCCGTGACCACCTGGTTAGGAGCAAGGAAGAAATTTTGCGTGGGATTCCAAACATGTCCACTGTCACTGCTTTATCTGTAGCATCAAGTGCTGTGATGCACAGACAATTTTACGTGGAAATTCAGGCTCAGTGATGTGGTCTTTGGGGGTCCTTAAGTGTGTTTTGTGTTCATCTTCCTTGTTAGTTTTCAGCTTTTGCTATCTGCTGCTCAGAAGTCTGAATTTAAATGTAAACCTTGTGAATATAGCAATTACATTTCCTTCATTTTGTTTTCAGACTTTCTGAGGAAGCATCTGGGGACAGAAAAGGCATCAAAAGAACAAGCTGATGATAAGCATATTTTTAGGAATTTCTAAGTGCTATCGTTTCTGTCACCTGAAAAAGTCTGAACTGAACTGCTAACCAAAACAGCTGGACAAATTTAAATGTAAAAGTATAATACACCTCATTCCCTACTGTCTTTTTAAAACAAGATGTTAATGTGGTCACTTGAGGTGGATGGATTTGTTTTATATCTGTCTATTGGAACTGGGAGTTGGAGCCATGTAAGGTTTCTCTGATAAAGTCAACACCAAAATATGAACTAGAAATCAGCTGAATTTTTATCTGGATAAATCAGAATCATCTCTGTGTCAGTGGTGGGTTTACTCCTGAAGTCAGGCTGCATAGCCATATAGCCCGTGTAGGATTCATACTTGGGGTTGGAGGGCTTGCTCATGCTTTTTTATGAGGCTGGCATATCAAAAAGGAAAGTGCTCAGAAGAGCTGCCTATGGTGTTGGTAAACTCCGTTTTTTATAACTTTTAGCAGAAAACCTTAAGCTCAGAAGGATTTTAGAGGTTTGCAGTTACTGCCTTTTGACACAGAGCTTGTGCCTGAGCTGAGAGTCTGAAATAAGCAACGCCTCGTACCTGTGGCCAGCATCCTTTTCAGAACTTGGCACAAAAGTGTCCAGCAGATGGCGCGATGTGCTTTATTTAGGGCAGAAACGCTGAGATCGTGAAGTTTCCTTTTGTTTGAAATTAAATTAAGTTTTATATGCTCTGATCAGAAGCTGCCGTTTGAAAGAACTGAATTTTAGATCTAAATACACAGGTTCTGTACTGGAACGTAGCATCTCTGTAACCTGCAAGAAATAACAGGCACTTAATGCTGTGTTGGTAGGAAAGTCTGTTCCTCATATAGAATGTTTGTAGTTTAAAACCAGTTGGCAGTTAAAAAAAAGTTACTTTTTACCCCCAAAAAGTAATTTCCTGATGTGAAGTAGTGCCAGACAAGACCTTTCCAAATTTCTAGTTGATAAGCGTTAGGCAACTTTTTTTCTTTTTCTTTTTCCACAGATAAATACATGGCTTGCTCTTCTACAAAATCAAAGGGTTAGTTTGCTACTGGGAACTGCAAGCTGGAATGCTGTCGACTAACCAAATAGCCTAAGATGCCACTGCTTTTTATGAGTTGTCTGCATCCTGGACCCCTTTACAACTCAAGAAAAACAAAACAAACAAAACCTTGGCCACTCCCACCCTGGCAAGTGCATGTATGTATATTTACATATGTAAGGATCAAAATTGGTACAAATCATAGTAGCAGGAATTTTAGCAGTGCAAAGACAACGTGAATTAGTTTTCCTTCTCTGGTTCTCTTCATGTGCCTCCAACTTCTTAAAACTTCAGAGAGGCTGTGATGCTGAAAAATGCAAGCTGAAAAGCAAGAGAAGCCGTAGAGCTCTACAGAGCCTTGAATTCCTTGCAGCAAGTGCTGCTTCTATGTGTTCTGCTCCCTTTTCTCCATTTCTGCTATACAAACTTAGGTTTGGAGCCACAAGTGATGTGGAAGTACAAAAATGGTCTTTTTTGAGGAAAAAAGTCAGTGTCTAGAAAAGCATGCACAAATTCCTTCCAGAGTTGTATGGACTTGCTTCAACAATTTCCTCATAATGTTTAAAAGCCATTAAATTACTTGGCCATCTCCTGTAATAATGGAAAACTTCTCACAGAACTGAAGGGCTGAACAACGGAGATAAATCATTGATTGTCCCAAAAGTGCCATAGGTTTTACTGTAATTGTGAAACCACAGTCTATAAATATTTTAAATCTCTTAAAACTGTGTTTCTAACTCTCCCTTCTGTGGGCTCCTGTGGGCTCCTGGATGCAGCACTAATGTAAGTGAAATGCTTCTGGGAAAGCCAGGGAAATGCAGCTGGATTTAATTTAATCCCTACCTACTTCCTTGTGCCTGCTGGATTTTGGCAGTAAATCAGCTGTAGGCCACTTAGTGCTTCCTTCTGCAAATGTGGGTACAGGGAGGGATCCAGGTTGACTTCTGGACTTCAAACACTAACTGTATAAGCTGGTGTGGGATGGGAACACTGAAGAAGTGGGCAGCTTAGTTCATGTAGGAGGAACTAAAGCTCTTGTTGTCATTTTATACAAGTTTTTTCAGTTTATTAGGCACTGATGCAAGTCCCCTGGCTCTGAGTGACAGGGCATTGAGTGTGATGTGTCTTAGCTGGAAAATCTGTATGGCACGGACATGAGGAAGCAGAGTGGCAACCTTTGCCATGTTGTGTGGGCTGGTGTGTGATGTTTCTGAATTCTGAAACATGCTTCAGCCCTTAATTGTGCGACTCTTCCCAAGTTAGGAAGTTTCTTGTATGCCGTGGAGGTTAATTTGCAACATAACATCAGCCTGGCCTTTCACTGAGAGGCATGCTACTGTCAGTTGTGCTGACTGATGTGCTTTCCTTGCTAGACTGCTCCTGATTAATAAAATATATGAAAGCAAAAGAGAAGTCCTCCAGAGCTTTTTTTCCCTGTATTTAAGACTAGCTTACATGCATAGAAGCATCTTTAGGCCCTATATGGTCTTTCTTTCAGCTACACTTAGATTGTTCTGCCTGCGTTTTAAGCTGTTCAGATGCAGACCTGCTCTACGCTGGACACTGTTGATGCATTAGCACAAGTCTTTGTCCATTCTAATAGCTCTTGGTGAGCAGCAGAGTGCCACAGTAATACAGTGTAATGGCTTCTTGAGGGGAGCTGTTGAGGGTCTGACTGATTTGGAGGATAAATTCTTCCACAGACACTGCCAAGAGGCAATAGACAGGAATGCTGGGATTCTAATGACAGCTATGAAAATATTTCAAAATCCAAACAATGCACTTCGCAATATGTAGTTACTCTCAAATTAAATCAAAGCCCATTGACTGTGTTTTGCCTGCATAAAGACACAATAAATAGCCAGCACTACTAATAAACTAAATCTGAAAAGTCTCCAAAGTTAGTTCTCCTTTAATAAAAGATGAGTCACTGTTTACTCCCCTTCTGTTTTCCAGGCTGGAAGCAACATGAGATTTATGTCAGCGGGAACAACATGTGGCTGATCTGCATGGTATTCACAAATAGGCAGGAGCACTCTCTTCCCCCAAGCGTCTCATTTCTCATTCCTTGGATGATCCTTCAAATAGATATGCAGCATAGCTGGGGACTTCAGAAGTGTTTAAACAGGTGAACATCTTCCTCTAGCAGAGCATAATGGAGCAGAGTTAATAAGGATAATTAGGTGTTGAAAGGCACATTTGGCACTCAGTGTTAAGCAAGTACATGTATAGCGTACCTAAATGGGCTGTCCAGTGGGTGAACAGGTCTGCCTCTGTTTCTCTGTCCCTTTTTTGGGAAATATCCTCTCTTTTGTTGCTGTTTTGCCACTTGACTGGCAGTCGCTATTTTGCTCTCCTGGGACAGTATTATGCCTGTGAAATGCAGGTTGCTGTAGATGATATGGATTTCTCTTCTGTGAATGAGGATTTGAGGAATTGTTCCATTTCATGCTTGTCCTGAGAGTCTGGGCACAAGACGTTCATTTGGGGAAGTCAGCACAGACTGGTTGGTTATCCGACCCTTGCTTTTCAACTCATCCAGCATGATTACATCAGACGTTTCTGCTATTTAAGCCCACTGGAAGTTTATGGACTCATTTACTGCACAGGCTGTTCTTGTTTTCCCACTTATTGCTGTGAGCCAGAAGGCACTTGCTGTTTTACATGCGGTGCAAGCAACATGGGTCAGTAACTGAAGCAATTGATTCAAGTTAGTTAGGAGAAGTAAAACCAAGTCAGTACCTCACAGACTTGTGCTCCCAGTCTCATACTCAGAAATCAAGTCTTCTACTCTCCCATATTAATGCCCTGGGCAAACTCTTAATTATTAAATCTACGTACCTATTTCATTTTAAGGTTTAGGGATAGCACTGCTGATTTATCAGTCCAGTGAAGCAGAGAGGTATATACAACCTATTATTTCTTGATAAAAATTACATGCTGGTTGTACGTGAAACATGTAGCATTTATAATTTTAAGCTTGCAATTGTCACTTGAGTTGAACTTTCTGTCACACCACACTTACGGTAAGGAAAGCGTACCCTAGATTTCACTACAAATGAGTGGTAAGTAAACATAACGGTAGCAGAGTTTTAAATACATTTTCCTTCGTAAAGAAAAGCTGGAAACAGGTAATGCACAGCAATTACTTTCATTCTTTGTCTTTTTGCACTGAGTAGTCTGATTAGAATTCTTCAATGCTTTGACTAAGCAGCAATGCTGCTGGACTTGGACCCCTTGTTTCCCTTGCGAAGGATTTAATTTAGAATGCTGATTTTAAATAACTTTTAATGGCAACTGAGCTAGCTGTCTATTTAAATAAATTGTCACTATCTTTTTCTTGGCAAATATTCTAAGATGCTTCCCTTCTGAAACTGTTGTGTATATATCCGGTTTGTTCTGAAAACTCTACTGCATTCACAAAATCCCCTTCCCTTTTTCTTCCTTCCTAGGCAACAGAAAACTGTCATCTCGTATCTTAGAGTAGAACGCTGTTAATGGTCCCTTTAGGTTTTGAAAGATGATCGTTGTTCTTTTTTACTTAGGGCCTTTTCCTGTGTACCATTTGTATGGCCTTACACAGAGAATGTGGCTCCTCAACCCCACCAGAATGGGAGTGGAGATGGGATGCACAAAATTATCTTACAGATAGTGGGTCTTGCTTGACACTGTCTTTTACATGTGCTGTTTCCATTACAGAACCTGGCAGGAACAAAGCAGAAGAGATTTATTAGAGAGGCTTACAGTTATGGCTACACAGATTATAGCAATAATCATAATGAATTTGCTATAATAAGGATTTCAGAAAAGGGCGAGTATCTAATCAAAATAGCATTGAATCCCAAAGGAAAGGTAAAATTGGTGAGATAGGAGGCACAGCTTGATTTTTTTTCAGGATTTATCACCTAATTTATTCACTTTACTTCAGATAGATTAGAGCATAAAACGTAGCTATCATCGTGCAAACATCAACAGGATTAAATAATATAGTCTTTGGAGACAACTACTTAAGTCAAGTAATTTAGCCAATCATTTAAACTTTTCCTTCCCAAACATGCATTTTAGCTCTTATCTGCAATGCAGATCACTTGCATTCTGCTCAGCATTTGGTGTGTATGAATAATTCCCATTAGGAGTTCAGGATGCAGAATCAGGTGAGAATGCACGTAGAGCTCTGCCACGGGGTGAGGAAATTGGACATCTCTTTTGAAAAGGGCAGTTCTGTATCTGCAGCTGTGTGATCCTACATATGAACCTATATGTCAAAAATGAAACCCTGTATTTGCATCTGCTGTTCCATTACAGAGTCAATCCTGCTTGCTGCTGCCCCCATTGGATTGGAGGATGGTCAGGTACTTCTTCCAAGTTCAGGCCTTTGGCTGTTTCAGGTCAAAGAGACAACTCTCAGAAATATCCTGCCCTATCAACAGTTTATTATAACTTTGTGAAATCTGGAAAACAAAATGCTAATGTAAGCTGCAGTATCAAGCAGGCAACAAATGAAGCCTTTGAGACCTTCTGTGGCATGTCTAGACCCTTCTTCCTTGTGATTTATTTATTTTTTGCTTCAGGGTCAAATGATCCCATCTAGAGATTCAAGTGGCCAACCACTTTTACTCTCACTTTCTTTTCTTCCTAATGATCCTTTGGCAAACTCCTCAGTGTCAATAAAGCAGTCCGAGGGCTTGGGTGAAGGTGTAATTCTCAGTACGTGGCACTTCTGCCACGGCCACATCATCTATGTGGGGAGCTCCAGGATTGGTACACCTGCCTGTTTTGGCTTGAATATGAATTTATTTTGCTGTTTAGTCTCAAAGCAGCCTATCTAGCTGCATGTTCTCAGCTGAGAGCTGATCTGGGAAGCGAGCTGCTCTGGCTCCAGCATTTCTGCTCTCTTCCTGTTTTCATCCCTGAATAATTTTCACTTGACTGAAGAAATCACCTCCTTTTAATTGTCTTCCAAGTGTTGCAGGTTTCCTTTCTCCCCTTTGTTATTCACATTGTTGCTGCTCTGGTTGGCTTTGTTATTACAGCTGTTAATATTGCATGGTAAAATGAAATGTTAATTGCTGAACCTCTGAAGAACAGGCAACAGGCTGCTTATGGCGGCAAACCTGCCTACAGGAAATGTGGGAGGCTGCCGAGTGCTGTTGGGACCTAGTGTCAGATCAATCACAGGCTGGAGGTTTACATCAGAAAGTAGTTTTGAAAGTGAGAAAGCAGCTCCAGTGTGAAGAGTATACCTCAAACTGATCGGTTCCTCCCTCTTGCTGAAAGGCGCTCCTTGAAGTGTCAGTCCAGCTTAGCTGAATTACTCGCTGGATGTAAGCAGTACTAGCTCGTGTTAGCACTGCTAGAAGCTCCTACAAACTGTATTTTCACTTGATGTGGGGAAAATTGGATATGTTTTTCTTCCATAGGTTTGTCTGAATCTGTATTCCTTGTTGTAGGAGTTATTTAGAGACACGGACACAACGAATCATCGCAGTGCGTGAGGATGCTGATTTGTTTTCTCCTTTCCCCTCCTTACTTCAATAGGGACCAGCTGTCTCTGTGAGCACTGCTGCCTGCCATTGTGTGACTGCTGTTATTTAAGGAAAGTTGATGCAGATTTGTTGTTTTCACTTAGTTTTATGAACATGTGAGGATATTTTGCTTCCTAGGCAACACATTTTTTTTTTCCTGCCTCAGCTCATTTTTAGCTCTCCCCAAAGTATTAGGGAACACTATTTAGAAAAACAGAAGAAAAAAATAACACAGGAAAAACTGGAGAGCAGCTTGCTGAGTGGGTCCTTTAGTTTGAGATTAGGCAAATAGTTCCATATGAATTTATGATGTGACATGGCAGCATAAAGAGCAAATGTAATTTCATATTGCATTATTATTTATTGGATTTATAATAAAATTGCAATTACATGGGAACCTGGCTCATTCAAATGTGCTGAGACATGATCAGCATGCACACTAGAAGAAGTTTGTATTATTGCAAAGTATGCACAAAAATGGGTTCTTCAGCGATAGAGGTGAGTTTTTGTTCGGAAATAATGAAACTGTGACTTAAAAATTCAAGTTCCTAAAAAAAAGTCTTGTGGTGGCAGTGGTCTGAGAACAGACTGGTGGCAACAGACTTGCAGTGCAGTGACGTTGCTCTGTGTGCTCTTTGAGTCACTTTTACGAATTAAAGAGACTGTCCACAGATGGATGTCCCATCCATTCTTTTGGCTTCTGCTCATAAACAGAGCTGGTGAAACTTCTGACCCACTTTCTACCTCTGAAAAACAAGCAAACAACAAAAACCCCTATAGTGTATATTTGCTGTGGTGACAACAGAAAGGTAAAATCTTAGTAACAACTCTTTACAAAGGTGGCGTGGATTACTGTCTTCCCTGATTTTCTCAATTCTTGTAGAACTGGTGGTTATATTTTGAGAGGCCACAGCATTGGAAAATTCACAGGCAAACAATAACTTACTCTTGTAAATGCCAATTCCCATTGACTTCCATTTTTTCTTGAATCTTGTGACAGGACCAACAGAGGAAGGATGGAAAGGGTTCCTGAGAAAGGTCCCGGGGAAGGTCAATCCAACAGTTCATCTTTATTTTAATCTGTATTGATTCATTCCAGTGACTTCACCTGCAGAAATTAAAATTGTACTGATCAAATGCAACAATGCTATTTGGTAACCAGCATTTGTGAAGGGAGTCATTCACATGCACAAAGGTGGCATGCCTCTGAAGTAAGAGAATTGTTTGCTAGTCCATTTGTTTTACTTGGAAAAGGCTGTCAGGATGATACGCTCTGGTGTTTTTTGGAGAAATTGCACCTGAAGAGTATGTTCACTTAGAAGTAAAGATAGTGAGAAGCTGGAGGAGTTCAGGGACAGAACACAAAAGGCTTTCATGACCAAGGTTATCCAGCTCTCCCTATTATTTTCTCCCAATTTACAGTGACGTTGGGTACTTAGCACAAGCACAGAAGCAGTGAATATCAGGTGTATAAGATCATTCCTAAATCCAGCTGCCAACTCAGTGCCAGAAGTGCAGTGCTACAGGATGGACCTTGGTGGACCTCCACGGATGCTGTTATGCTGATGAAGGCAGATAATACTCTCTGGGCTTTTATTCTGTGCAGTTCTGTTCTTGCTGAAATAATAATAATAATAAATTAGCCCAATATGTTTACTGGAAGAGAGGAACAGCAATATAAAGGAAGAGTAAGGCTCTGCTGGAACTTGTCCATATTTTGCAAGTATAGGCTAATGATCAAATGTGATTGTAAGGGAAACTCATTTTCTTGAGAGCATACATTTAAAAAGAGATATTAACGCTGTAGTGTGGTAATCAGACGCTGCAATATCTGTGGTAAAATGCCAGCGTTCCAGAGATCTGACAAACCCTGCATTTGTTATTTACCTATCCAAAAATCTTGGCTTTGAAAAAACAGTGCTGAGTGCCAGCAGAAGGGCAATCATTACAAATTCAACGCAACAGTGCAGTCAGCTGCAGCATGGAGCTAACGGCAGGGGGTTTCTTTGGCACTGCTTATAAAATAGAAAGTATATTAATCTGTCCATAATTCAAGCTGAAATAAGAACAGCAGAAAGTGAGAGAGGATGAACTGTCAAAGGAAGGAGCTAGGTGATTTTTAGGTAACAAGTTGAGGGAAGGGAGCACTTACCCTTGAGAACTGTACAAAATCATTTGTAAAGTAGTTAGTCTTATGACTTATTTTGACTGCTACTCTTATTAATTATTTGTGCTGAAGTAGCACTTAGAGATAAGACTTATGCTAAAAATCCTACTCTACTGACTACTGCAACAGCACACAATAAAAAGGAAATCTTTCCCCTGAAGAGCTTTTAATCTGAAAGCCACTCATTATTCACACTGTTTTTTGCTTCTGATCTTCATCACTTCATTTGGTATTTCATTTGGTATTTCCATCCTCTCTTGTATTCTGGTGAACAGCATCAGAACCTCTTCCTCAGAGCTGTGTTGGTGTTTGGCAAACACGAAAGTCATGCATCTGCACTCTCTCTGACTATTCATTGGCTTCCTTCTTTTCAGTTTATGCTTCTCCGAGTTAATTTCTCCTTATTTTCTCTTATTTTCTCTTATTTCTTTTATTATCAGTCCTCCTTTTTTAAACTTTCTTACACTTTAGCTTGCCTTCATCTTCTCTGTGCGCTCTTTTTCTATGATATTCTTCCCTCTTGGCTGCTTTTTTTTTTCTTTTTTTTTTTTTTCTTCAATTTCAGGGGAGATTTGAGAAGAAATAACACTTGTCTTCATTTGTTCAAACTGCACTTTCTCTAGTGAGCTGTTCCATCCCTCCTTACTTCTTACATCCATTGAGAATCTGCCAAGATCAGAATTCATTTGGGGAAAGTATGCTTTTTAACAGGAAGATATTGCTTCGTGACTCAGGACGATGCTGGGTGTCACCAACTGCTGGAAGGTCCAGCTGGAAGATTTTGCTTCTGGAGGGTCCTCGGTACAGGACAACTGCACTAAATGCACTTGGGATAAAACCTAGTTATGTTTTTTATAAATAAGTTTACTTCATGAGCACCCTGGCAAAATTGCAACAACGTCTCTTGGATCATGGTAAAGAAGCAGAAACCAGGGGAAAAGGGCAAAGTTAGCTGTTGGCAGCTTGTCCTTCTGCTCTGCTTTTAATTATTGTGGCTTGTGATAATTTGCTTGCAATAATTACAGCTACATTGCCAAAGTAGCCTTTAAACGGGATTGTTGTTGTTGTCATAACTGTTATTGTTCAAGAACTGCATTTTTCAATTAAGGGAAATACATGAGATACATTATCTATAACAATCTCTTTTAATGATAACAACGGATATGGAAATTAGTCCAGAGCATAAAATTAAAGATATTTGAATAATTATAGTGTAATCAAGTCAAAATTACTGATGCCTTTATTTGAGGCTAGATTATGTGGAAAACAGCGCAAGAAAATACGTGCTTCGAAATCTGAAAAGCACCAGTATTTGACAGCACATTTGCATGTATTGCACCAAATAATAATTTTGCTTTGTCTGTCAAATATTTAAAACATAAACAACAGTCACTAGGCTACTTTTCAGATGCTTGGGAGTGTTGACACACTCCCTTGTAGTTCAGTTTGCTGGCACGCTTGGTGTTTTGATATGGTGGATTTGCAGAATAAAGGTGAATTTAAAAATGCTCAGCAAGGTGGCTCAGAAACGTCTGCATATAATATTATAAATACCTGTATTGGATTTTCTTGGAGAGGTTTCAGTTTCTGTCAATTCTTTCTCCCTGTCCTTACCTAATGCTACACATACTTTTTAGTCAAGTAAAGAAAAAGGACAGGGAGCCTAAGGGAGGTCAGAGACAAATGTTCTAGGGATAAAAATATAATTTTTATTGTAAATAATAATATATCTATATATATACATATATATAAAAAAAACTCTCTGTGGGGAAAAAAGCCCAACACTTATTTTCAAATTCTTTACCTTTAATAGTAAATGCTGACTCACCAAGGCAGAAGAACTGGAAGGAACAGTTGAAAGCTGTGCAGACTACCAGCTGGTGAGTCTCAGACACTGTCTGTGTCAAAGGAAAACTGGAAATGGAGCTGTGAACTCCAGACTATTTGTGTAAAAAGGGTGATGATAAAAATATTTGTATTGTTTGACTCCATTGCAGTAGGTGAAAAAGACTAAATTTATACTTAACTTTATTTGAGGATTTTGATTTCAAAATGTAACGTGAAAAGTAGAAGGCAAAACCTTTATAAGAATTCTGTATCCATAAGCCAGCTGGTAGATAGTCATGAGCTTTATGTGAGTGGAAAGAAAGACATTATAATTCAGTGACTTGTTAAGATTTAAAATAACAGCAGCACTAAGAAATCTTTTGGAAAGTTGGTGCTAAAATCAGTGAGCACTGATTTTCATGCAACTGGCCAAATACAGATGGGTAATTCAGGATTTTCAAATTCCTATCTGTTTTAGATAGGAAATAGGTGGAAATAGGCCAAAACAGCTAAGAGAGAATTCCCTCACACCAGTAAAGTACTGTTGGGAATAACAATGTAGTTATTCTGACATCAGGCTCATAAATCTGATAAAAACCAGAACTGCAAAAGGTAGGAATAAACATGGATGGCAGTGGTCAAGAGGCATTTTAGTGCCTTATGATAAGCTTGTGCTGCATTCAAACACTGTTTTGAAACAAAAATCTGAACTGGAATACCTAGTGAAAACAAGATTGCTGTTTTCCTTCTTCATATAATAAGGAAAGGTAGAGAATGAAGAAGATTCAGGGCTTCAATTCTTGATTCTGGCTCTGGTCCAGAAAGCATAAGAAAAATTTCTTTGGGGATGGCCAGGCAGAAATTATGGGCAGTCTTGGTTAGTAATGGAAAGAAATATTTTCACTGGCAGTTAAGACTTACTGTAGTTGAGCAATTTTACTATAGTGCTGCCTAATGAAAGTTTCACGAGTTGTGTAGTGATCTCTCTGTGTAGTCTTGTGCTGCGTGGAGAGTTCCACCATCATAATGCTTCATAACCTGTAACGTAGGCTCCTCACCTGCAAAATCCCCAGAGTACTGAATCAAAAATGAGCAGGAAATATTCTGTGTTAATAAACTGTATGACCTATTTTTATAGCAAGCAGAACAGTTTTCAAAAGATTAAGTAGCAAGTTTTGGGAAACGGATAAGAAACTTAATAAAGCCGAGTGGTTCTTCAGTCTGGCTGAGGCAGCTAACGTTGCAGATGTATTACAGAGCTGAAGTTGATCCAAATGAGGCCTTTGGCGTGTGCAGCTAATGGGAGGGGGGGAGTAAGCAGCACTTCCAAGTTCAAGAACTCAAGAACTTGAAGTTCTTATGATATTGTATATATTTAAATCTTCCAGCTACTAATTTTGGGAATTACTTGTTTAAAACTTTGTTCTTTGCCAGTTAAAATAATTCACTAATGAACTCGGCAGTGAATCTGCAGTGAACTGGGCTATGGGGTCTTAAATCATGTTGTTGTAGACCATCTGAACTAGTAGATGTTTACTAATGCCTTGCAATATTGCCTTTAGTTTGAAGAACAACCAGAAAATTAGAAAAGATTTGATATTTCTATTTCTCTTTTAGTCTCTTAAAAGAGAGGAGTTCGGAGTCTCTATGCAGAGCAGGCATATCAGGTATGACCATATAATAGAACCAATTCCTGAGACCCTAGGGGATGACTGTAGTGAGTTACAGAAGATCAGAGTGGGATTTGTGCAAGGCATGGGATGTTGAACCAAACCTTGCTTTCAGTTAGGGTTACAGTTGGGGTTCCTTGAGTTGTAAACTAATACTTTCTGTGTTGGGACCATATTACTGCCTCCCCCTCCGGCCCTGAAGTGCAGCCAGCCCAGTGTTAAACCAAAAATACATTTATTGAAGTCAAGGACAAAATTTAATGCAATCTAATGTGAGAAAACAGACTCCCACAACTAAATTATAAACAGAAGACAGTACAAGCAAACATATCTGCATTTCTGCTGATATTCAGGCAAAGCTCGGTGCAGCTTCAGGTGTCAGTTCCACCACTACCTTTGTGGTATCATGGTAGGCTTGAAATGACCAGGAGAAAAAGGGTCATTACCTAATCTACTGGAATGAGTTCAGGTTCATTTCATAATCTGTAATTACTTGTGTTTCTCTGTCACTCCTGCTATTTAATTTGAGCTGTTGACAATTACTTGTGAAGAGGCTGGGCTTGTGCTGCTTCAAAAGGTGTTTCACTGTAAGAAGGGAGGAACATCTTTCCAGTGGGAAGAGTCAAGGAGGAAAGGAAACTCAGTTCTGCTGTGGGTTTTCCTTAACTACTACTAATCCAAGGCTATTTAGTTGTCACCAAAATCTTGTTTTTCTTCTGAATGGAAGTTGTTGTTAAGTATTTAAATTGTGTCCTCTAATACCTGCATGTGGTTAGAGATAGTGAAAATCATTTCAAAGTTCTTTTGTTCTTGAAGAATTCAAATGAATTGACTTTTTTAAAAGAAAAACAAACTGGATTTGCTTGGGAAAGGGGAGGGTTGGAAAAGGAAGATAGCCTGTTTCAAAGAAAATTTGTTATTGCTTTGCTAGAGTCTAACTTTGAGTGGAGAAAAATATTCCTCAAAAATTGTGATTCAATATGTGTTCTTTTTTGGGGGGCGAGGGGGTTCTCCCTTAAACCCCATTATTCATTTGAAATGCATTGACTGGTTTTATGAAATGTTAGAGTTAAGTACTGGGTTATCCTGAGAGCCTTGTCTCACCGTCAGAGGTAGAGATCCATGAAGAACAGTGTTTAACCATCCCGTGTACAGTGCTTTCTCAAATAGTCCTTGAGACCTCCTTCTAACTCATCCTATAGCAACCGCTGGTGAGCATTTACAAAGTGGACTAATTCAGAATTTACCATTTCCTATTACATGTGTTTTCCTTACTTTTAGTGGATTATACAAATGAGACATCGTTATTCCTTCCTAGGAAGAAAAATAAACAGAAAAATAAGGGAACGGACTAAAGAACTCGATTCTCAAAATGCGCATGTGATTGCCGGAGTTAGAAATATAATTGACAGATCAATTATACTTTCATTTCCTTGAGCCATTCTTCCATGCCATTTCAAACCTAGAGCTGGCAGGTCAGAGAAAGTAACTGTCAGCCTGTGTGCTGCAATTGGGTGTGTGGCAAAGCCCTCCACCAAGAAGTCACTTTGTAGGAGGTTTTCTTCTTCTCTGCATTTGACAGTAATGTGAATGAGAGCTTTGACTCTTTGTTGGCTTCTGATGCTGAGCTACTAATTTTTTCAGGCAGTTTCTTGTCAACTAAGGATCTACAAAATAAGCTCAACAAATAGCGCATAAAAATGTTTATCTAAGATATCCTTCTTCCAGTGTGTCAAACATGAGACGTTCTTTAAGCAGTGCCTAAATAGTAAATCGTTTTTTAAGCTTAAAGCTAGGCCACTTTTGTTTGTTTAAAGTCAATTTATATTGCTACAAAATGCCTGTTTTGCATTAACATCTAAGAAATAATCAAGGCTCAGGTTCAGATCTTGCAAGCTTGTTTTACATAAATTTTCAGATGCACATGTGCTGACTCAAGGCAGTGGGTCGTGCACAGCCAAATGAATCTGGGTCAGACTATTAAATGGAATCAAATCCTACTCTCCAGTGGAGCTGAACATGCATTTGGAAACATTTGATGGACTTAAAATCCTGTCGTGCTATATACTCCTATTTATAACAGAAATTGTGGAATTCTTCCCTTTGTGGGAGTTTTTCTTTCTCCCTTACAGACAGAGAGGAAGGCTGGTCTTCCTCTTCTGAAGACCAGAGGCTGAAGGCTGAAGACCAGCCCTTCTTTCAGTGCACAGCTGGCTAGTGTTGGTATAACCAGCTTCTAGGCAAGGAAGTGGGCTTCTTGCAAAAGGTATTGAGGTGGGCCAATCCCATTATAAGAAAATCACATATCAGTGATATACTCAAATGATTGGAAACATAGAACAAACTTTCTCTTAAAACTTGGATGACTGCAGAGGTGCTACAATTACAACAGAAAAGGTACTGGCTTGCAGCAAAGCAAGTACATGTTTCTATTTAAGCTGAACCATATCCTACTGAGCTGTACACAACATCAGTGAAGTGCAGATGTTTGTTTTGCTCGTCAAAAATGTCTAAGTTTAGAAACAAAATTCACTCTCAATTCCTTTTTGTCCCTCATGATAGATGCTACTTATAAAAAATATAGTTATTCAGTGTAAAAAATAAATGAAGCAGCAACTAAAACCCCTTTTTAGTTTCTCATTTATTCACATATCCATGTTATCTTGGTGTATCTTTACATTTAGTTTCTGGATATATTTAAAATAAGTACAAATTATTTGTATTTATGTTGTAGTTATTTGGCAACTCAAAAAAGACTTCAGGATTGTATTTTCCCTCACTAAACCTAAATATCTAAGTAACAGACAAAATACCATAGTTAATTCCTGAAACCATGAAGGGTTTGGTGGTGATCAACCGACCATAGCTGCCACGTAGGAAAAGCCAGATTCAGAATTCATTCATGCAAAAGGTTTCAATTTACATCCTGCATAGAAATTTGATGTGTTTCACTAACGTTTGTCATGCTTTTTGTCCCCTTTGCCTAATATCCATGTTTATAACAGTTCCTAAGGTTTGAGGGTACCTTTTTCAAATTTCCATCTATTACAACAGATCCCTTGCCATATGGTGTAGCTTCAGTTGTAATAAGAAAAAAAAAATACAGTAGTGCAATAAATCAGTTATGTTCAGACTGAATGGAAAGCATCTTAAGATGGGTGTAATTGCAGAGTCTGAGGCAGAAAGGAGCAAGCTAGCAAGAAATGAACATACAAACAGACTACACTGTCCTTCTGTGTCTGTGTCCTTCTGTAGCTGGACCCTTCTTGAGCTTCTCCCTGATGCACAGAACCCATTTCTTCCTTCTCACCTTGCCAGGCTCTCACACTTCCCCAGTTCAGGATAGCAAGGCTGTTAGGTAGGTCAGGTAAGATTCCCAGCAA